AACCCTTACCTTGAATCAAGCCCGTAAACATTCTATTCTATATCCATCAGGTTTACTTAAAGGCTCAAAAACTTTCAACGTTTCCTTCAAAAAAAATTTACAAAAATTAAACTAGACTTAATACTTAAAATTGTCATCAACTATGGTGATTTTTTTTTCTTTTTTTTTTTTGCTAAATGACTTTCCTGATCTAATTTAATTCTAAATTTATGTATTTTTGTTCAATACAGTCCTTCGTTTTCTTTTCCATCCTATAGCCATTAAATAGGACATTTTGATAATTAAACTAGGGGAACCATGGATCTCATGTAGATGCTAGGGGTCTAAGTGTTAGCAGAATAATTACATGAATTTAATTAGTTGAAGTTACCCTAGAGCATGAGCTAGCAATTGGGATGCATTATGTTAGAAGGTCTCAAAAATATGTAAATTAGGTTTAAGATAACTATATGGTGTTAGTTGATTGAGTTAGTGAGTTTGACTAGTTAAGAGCATTAGTTGATTGTAGAAAGATGTTTGGTAAATTAATCAAACAAAGAGCCAATATCGTTTCCACTACTGAAACTCGATCCCACAACCTCCCTTATAAGGTATCAACTTGGTGTCATTGGACTACAAGGTCCTTGACAGCAGACCTCAAAGATAAGTGTTGGAATTGAACGTAGTAATGTGAAGTGATTGGAGTGACAACACTTGTCATCTTATACGATCCACTCCCGCTTCTTCAGTCTACTACGTTCTAACTAGTGGCGGAGCCACCTTATATGAGCAGGGGGCCTTGACCCCCCCTCCCCCCCAAAACAAATTCTAGAATTAGTATAGACTATAGAGTAGCAGTTTAGAATTAGGATTACGGGTTTTCAATGGCGGCTTGGCCCCTCTCCACAAATCTTTTTTTTATTTATTAATATTATAATAGTTATTTTGTGGCTCCCCTTACCAATATATATAATTTTCTACCCTCCAAAAAAATTTCTAGGCTAGATTTTGGCAAATTATTGTGTGGACCATAACAAAAAGTGCATTTTTAATATACTAAATGTACATTATTTGTGTATTGAATGTACATTATATAAAATAATGTACTTTCCCTAAATACAATGCACATTATTAATATATTAAAAATATATATTTTTGTACTAAATGTTATTTTATAACATACAAAATATGGTCTACATAGCTTGTATGGACTATGGTCCACACAATAATGATTGTTAAGTTTTATACTCAAACCATCCAAATTCCAAACTTGTAAACCAGAAACGCAATACGCAGACAGTAAGATTTTCTTCAATTTTCAATCTGCAAATCTATAGGTAATTTTTCATTTATTTTTTATTCTTGAAATTTTTGAATTTTTGTTATGAATTATTCTTTATTGGAGATGGATTCATCCGTCCTCACAACAACAAAAAGTTTAGATATTATAGTAGTTAAATGATAGCTAAATGCCTAAATCCTTTTTTTGGTTTCCTCACGGCAACCACGGTGATCGGCCCCCCCGCACCAAGAAATCCTGATTCTGCCCCTGGTTCTAACACATATCATTGATCTTCTAGTAATATATGAGATATATACAATTATTATACATACAAACAAATACATATAAATATCAGTAGCCAAGTAGGCAAGCAAGTGGGTAAAGATCACTTGCATGTGAAAAATGGGCAGTGACCCACTCGCTTGCCTACTTGCATTTTTTGTTGTTTATTACTTTGAAATTTTGAACTTTTTTTTTTTTTTTTGACAAAATGCAATGGAACTCTCAACATCATTATAAACTCAATGCCGTGGTTGATTTTAGTATGCGTGGCATCCACAACAACTTCAGTTGTTGAGATGCAATATTTTTAAAATTGTAAATAAAAAGAAAAAATAATATTGAATAAAACATTGCTATAATTTACAGAAAAACTTATAATTATTGTGCTATTCAAAAATAAAAATCGCCTTGACCTTAGTCAGCAAAGAATCACAAAGAGATAAACCGCTTAAGTTACCTATAATTGAACTGTTCAAATCAAGAAAGTCAATAATAGACTGCTCGTAACTCCCATAATGAGTGAGTAAAATTATCTCTGATACAAATTAAAATTTTCCATTATGAATTTCTTCACTTTGACGACAGGTCCCATCAAAGAAATACTGCAAATGCTGTGTTTTTGCTCCTGGATGGCTGTTGGAAACATTCTAGAATTTTATGCTGGAGCCACTGGAAATGAAGGGTATAAAAATTTTAATTCCTCCAAATTTGTAGTATATAATTGCTAATAATATCCAGTAGCATATTCATTGGGCATTATCCAGATTTTTACTTTTTTTTTGGCAGATATTATTAGAAAACACCAAACAATTAGAATGCCGGTGAGACCTATAGATTTACTGATTAATTGAGTTGAATCCCAACCAAATCTTGGAGGAGATAGAAAGCTTGATATTCTGGCAATGATCAGTTGTAGATTCATCATATCATTCAGACTCATTAGTAGAAAATTTTCATTTGGGCTGAAAACCTAGGTGACGATTAGATTGTGCATTAATATATTTGGTACCGTTTCTAACGATGTAATACTTTACAATGCTATACTTTTGTTATTGTTATTGAGTTTGAATTTCTTAATATAATATATTTTGCAATTATATTATTAAAATACTATATTATAGGTTTAATACAGGTATCAGATATTAATTAGTGGGTAGATTTTTATTTTTAAATTTTAAAAATTTAGCGATGGACAAAAACCCTAGCAAATTTGTAGCTAAATATCTTCTAACAATAAAGAATGACAACAAAATAGCGACGGACGGATATTTTCGTCTTTAAGCTGTAGATAAATAGCATTCATCGCAAATAATAGAAACAAACTAGTGATGAAAATTTTCGTCACTATATTTAGCGACGAAATATTCCGTCCCTATTTTCTTGCAAAATTCGTCATTCAAATCGTCGTGGGGAGGGAGATAACGACGAATTTTTTTAGTTTAGTGACGAAAAAATCTTTAGCGACAGAATTAAAATTCATCGCAAGTGAGTAGGGACGCCACTTTTAGCAACTGACGAATCCGTCACTATTCACTTTAACGACAAATTTTTCCCTTTTTAACGATGGAAAATTTTTCCACATTTTTATTGTAGTGTATGATCTTATGATATCCTTGTCTCCTCTCTTCTCACCCACCATTGGTCCTTCTCATTTCCTCTCTCGGCCGGCGAGCAGAAGACGGGAAGCAGCGGATCTAGCGATGTTCTCATTTCCTCCGACGACCTCCGTTCTTCTCGGCGAGTAGGGCACAACGGCAACCCAGCAGATCAACACCGACATCCTCTGTTTCCGGTGGTTGATCTCTCCCTCTCTTAGTCGACGACAAAGATGGGTCAGCGGCGAAGGAGCAATGATGAACAACGACCTTTGTTTCTTTCTGACAAACAGTTGACACAAGGTGAGCAGATCCGGCGGCGGTTGATAGTGGTCGCGGTTGAGCCGTGGCTGTAGGCGTGGTGGTGGGTGTTTTCGATGAGATTCCTGGCATAGGCTATTTCCGGCGTCAGTGAGTTGGCTTTGTAATGGCAATAAAAAAGAATTATATATGCCAAATGACATTTCTACCCCTAATTTTGACGGCTTAGACGGCAGGAACTAACGAAAGGATGACAACAGGTCAGCTTTTGCAACTCGGAAGACCACGAATGGTAATTACGAAAGTTAAGAATTATATAGTGAAACCACCAAACTTGAGAGACCTTGGCTGGTATTTTCTCTCTCTCTCTCTCTATATATATATATATATATATATATATATATATATATATATATATATATATATTCAAATGAGAACTTAAATAAGAGATCGGACTACATTATAAGAAAAGATCAAACTGTACAGTATATATGCGATGACTGTTATCCATAAGATAGATTGTCTAGTGATGAAACGTTTAAAGGGTAGAACCAATGAACCAACCCGTGGGGTAGCCATCGAAGGTGACTATTTAATTGGCTTTTGATTTCGCAGCATGCAGCCATGCCATGCATTATTTCATATATTTGTATGATTGAGACAATTCCAATTGAATTAGTCGAAAAAATCATTTGGTATTTTGATAGCTTAGTTACAAATTAAAATTTTAAGTTCGATTCTCTATGAGAACTGCTTATTCGTTTATAAAATAATTAACATTTTATTAGTTCATATTTTTTATTTACGGGAAAGTCCACAACAGCTATTTGGATATGTGTTTTCGGTGAAGCATGCATTGCAACTCTAGTAGGTAAAAAATTACAATAGGGTAAACTAGAGTCAAATTAAATTGTGAGTTATTGGTTTGATTTATGGGAACTCCGCAATAACTATTTGAATGTGTGTACGTTTTGATGAAGCTTGCATTGTAACTCTAGTAGATAAATGACGGTAATGAAATAACCAATTTAGGTGGCAAATTATGTTGTGCAATCATGGTGCACACGGTTGTAAAAACGACGTCGTTTTGACTAAAAACGCGCGTCCCACTTAAAAAAAAAACAGTTTCGATTCCCGGCAACAACATTATGTTGTGCATCATTTGAACTATATATCCAGAATGAATGAACTAAATATCCAGCATGAACGAAAAAAAAATCAGTTTTGATTTCCGTCTAAATATCCAGAATGAATGAACTAAATATCCAGAATGAATGAACAACATAATACTGCTGAGGGGAATCGAAACTGAATTTTTTAAAGTGAAACACGCGCTTTTAATCAAAACGATGTCGTTTTTGCAACCGTGTGCATCATGCACAAACACACGGTTGCACAGCATAACCATTGAATCTAGGTTGTCCTGGTTCCTGGCTCAAACTAAAAAGACCCATAGACAGTTTCCACCCGGAGTCAAATTATTGGTTAGAAAACAAGTTAATGGTACTAGTACTACAAAGTTCTAAGTTCGATTCTTTACGAGAACAACCTATTAATTTTTTGGTTTGAGTGAAACTTTGGCATTGGACCTTTGAACTGAAAACCCCTATATATATATACCCCTACCTCCAGCCATAAACATCAATAATATACTCAGATATGGCGGCTTACGAAACCGATGAGATCATAACGCCTGACTATGATGTTCTTGAATTCATTCGACAGCATTTGCTGAACGACTTTGAAGATTATCCGGTGACGCCACCGGAGCTCTTCTTCCTGAGCGATAACTGCGTGGAATTGGCAATGCCAGAGAATGTGTCCGTGGCGCCGGAAATGGATTTCCCTGAATGGACGGAGGTTTTGAATTTCCCGCCGGTGGCGGCGGATCAGCCGGAGAAGGAGGTTGCAGCGGCGGAGCCGCCAACGGGGAAACGTTACAGGGGAGTAAGGATGCGGCCGTGGGGTAAGTTTGCCGCCGAAATAAGGGACCCGGCGAAAAATGGGAAGCGCCGGTGGCTGGGCACGTACGGGACGGCGGAAGAGGCGGCGTTGGCGTATGACCGGGCGGCGTTCTGCTTGCGCGGGACTCGCGCTTTGTTGAATTTCCCATGGAGGATAAATTCCGGTGAACCGGCGCCGGTGAGAATCACTTCGAGGAAGAGGAGGTCAGCATCATCGGAAACTCATGATGATCCGGTTAAGAGAAGGAATTGAAGAACATGGCAAGCTAGCTTGTAGGCATATAATGAATAATCTTGATTAATAGATTTTTTTATAATTATCTTTTATTGTTTTTTACACTTGAAGAGTTAATAAGCAAATGACACAATTCCATTCGGTTGAAAAAAATCCAAACATTCTTGTCCCAAAAAAGTTGAATTCACAATTCTAAGGATTCCTACACTATAACCGGACAGAAAAAATCCAAACATTCTAAATTTAGTAATCATAGGTCAGATGAAGCAGTCCTGATATGATATATAATGTGATGCCAAGCCCAAGATTTCTTATGAACAATTGTGTTTTGCAAATCGAGTGAGTTTAAACTTGGAATGAACCAAAATGGGCTTATTTGGTTTAGTCTTCTGACTTATAGCCAATTTTCTTTATCAACCTAAGGGGCTTAGGGCCCTTCTTTTGCTATAAAAGCACAATAATAACAAAAACCTCATTCTTCTTCAATAGACCCAGAACGGAAAATGCTACACATTTTTTTATACACATTTATTTAACATAAACCCTGAAAATAACAGTAATGACATCAAACTACAAGAACATGTCATAATTATTTCGATTAGTTGATTATTGGACGGTAGATTATGACTAAAACTCCGAACATGACAATCATAATGAAAATTACACTTAATATGATGAATTTCTTGTAAACACTAGATACTATATATATTGTTGTTGTTATTCTCAAAAGGTTGAATCCCTAACCCCAAGGTCCCTGAAGTCCTGTCTGACAGCATTTGAGATTATGTAAATTATAGTAACTCAGTTGAACATATAGAGAGGTTGCTCTCACATTACTGTTGATGAGACTCAATTCCTAATCAAATTTTATCTTTCTGACCAATTAAACTGTCCATGGACCACTAGATACTATTGTTGCCCCGCCTAATGGGTTGTTGTGCCAAGAATAAGTATACTTGTGAGTATTACATACACTAAGGGTGTGTTTGGTTCGCACATAGAAATCGGAATCGGAATGGGTATCAAATACTTGGTAATGGTAATGGGTTTTGGTGAAAGTATTTAACATGTCTGGTAGTAGGGTGGAATGAGAATGGTTACTAATAGTAGTGGTTAAGAATGAATAAGGGAATGAAACCCTTATTGTATTTGGGTATGAGTTTTTCAATTGATGTGGTATTCGAAACCCATAGTAGTGTTCTAAAAACCTATTAACCAAACAACAACAATCACTTTCATACCCATTCCTATGGGCAAAACCCACCAACCAAACACACCCTAATTATTCTCCGGAGATATATTCGTGTAAAGCGTAAAGAGTAAAGAGATCAGCTCCATTCCATGCATACTCTAAAACCCTAACACGTAGCACCTCCATTGACACCCATGCATGCATGCAATCTCCTGTCAGCTTTAAGTTAACGCACAACAACCTCTTTTCAGTGCGATTATACCATAAATTAAACATGGCGGAAGTTTAAGGTTTTCCTATATATCCTCGTAACAATTAACCTCCTTCACCAATAATCCAAGAAAAACAATAATGTCGTCTCCTAAATATCAACAGAATATAGCCGCGGCCGCGGCCGCCGTCACGCTCCTGGGGCTCTCCGGCCTGATGTTTGTCGGAACTGTAATCGGCCTCGCTGCGGCGACGCCGCTGCTGGTGGTCTTCAGCCCGGTGGTCGTCCCCGCCGCGGTAGCCCTTTTCTTCATGGTTTCGGGGCTGGTGGTTTCCGTAGTGTGCGGTGCGGCGGCCGCCGTCATATTGTACTTTGGTGTACTACTGCTACGCCGGCGGAAGGGGGCTGCGGATTATTGGGGCAGAAAGGGTCGACTACGCCAAGGAGAAGCTGGCGAATGCTGCGAGTGTGATGAAGCAGAGAATCGCGGCGGCGGCGCGGTTGGGGAGCCAGGCGGGTCAAGATCTGCCGCCTCCGGTGACGGCCGCCGGCGGCCATGAAAACAACTTGAACAGAGACATAGCTGTGGATTAGCAGTTTGATTTTCTTAGTGGGTGTTGGTCAGATTGTAGGCAACATCTCAATTATTACATTGCTAGAAATATTTGTATAATAATCAAATATGAAAAAAAAAAAAAGAAGAGAGTATAAAATACATTTAGGAACCAAAATGACTAAATTTATTTATGAAACATACATTTTATAAATTGACAGTGACATTTCATTTTATATATGTTTATTGATTACCCCACAAATAATTAATTAGCCAAAAAATTATATCAACTGTACTGATCATGAATCGTCTACCTACAATTGCCTTGTCGTCATGCATGGTATGATGGTAACACATTGATTATTATTGGTTAAACAAACAATAAAATTGTTTAGGTTATGTTAATTTGTCAAAGTCAAATTGCATGTCCAAATTTACTTAACTTGTCAAAGGAGGTAATTAAGGTTTTTTTTTTAAAAATCATTTTCCATTTCTCACTAATTAAGCTTTAACATCTTATAGGTTAATACTTAATTGGTATCGTGCAGTACGATATACCTTTATGTGCTTACAAATTATTAGACATAAACGGAATTTATTCAGTGCACACGGACGTACTCGATCTTAAGTAATGGTTGCATTATAAAATAAAAAATAAAAAAAATCGCGATATAGCTTATTCTTATGTGTGATTTATAGATCAGACTATTACATATGAGCGGAGTTTACTTCATACACACCTTTATATAGTGACAAAGGTTTCTCTCGTCACAAAAATAAAAATAATGTGGAAACATCATCCTTGGTCGTGACAGTTGTATAATGTGTCATCCAAAATTTTAATTAAGACAATGAAAATACAATGTCAACTTTACCTAACTTCACGAGTTTAGTAGTTGCTAATAGATTGTGAAATTAGTATTAATTAAATTGGAACCAACTAAAATTTGAGGAAAATTGGTAGTTTAATTAGTCTCTGAATTATGTGTGAGACGACCAATTGAGTTAATTCTGCGGGATTCTTTTGTAAATATAATCCTTAATTATGTCACAGTTGTTGCTACCGATAGAAATTTAAGTCAAAATGAACTAACTTTTGTGATTAGTTAAGCTATGAATTCACATTAGATGAAAGACATTATGGCAAAGGAAATCTGGGCTCTAGCCGACAAAGATTACTCGTAGCTGATTATTAGCTTAAACATAGAAGGCCAAAAGTAGATCACATAGTTAAGGGATCAAACTTAGATTTTATTGTTACCAAGTCAACTAATTGTCAGACCAACCTCCAAGCACCTTTTGCTCATATGATTCCCCTTGAGGGAAGGTCACGAGATCGAATCCTGGTGGTGTAGTATTGACTCTTTGGGCTGCAATAGTTAGAGAAATTATAGAATAGATACTGCCCGCATAGGTAGCTCAACTGGTCATAGAGGTGAAACTTTAGAATAATAACCAGGGATCGAATCTCATTAGTAGCAGTGTGAGAGCAACCTCTCAAAGTGAGGGGGGCTCCTTGTGCGCAGTGAGCACCGGTCTAGCCTCTGTGGTTCATATTCAGTTGAGTCACCATGATTTACATCCTTCCAAATGCTCTGTCGGGCCCTTGTGCGCAGTGAGCACCGGTCTAGCCTCTGTGGTTACATCCTCCCAAATGCTCTGTCGGGCCCTTAGGGTTGGGATTCAACTTTTTGGAATAACTATAGAATAGATATTACCTTGCAATAGAGTCAATAGTAGTCGAAAAAATAATTGTTAGACCAACTCGTTTAAAAATGTAGTAATTTTTTAATTGTTTTCTTGACCACCTAGGATGTAGGGTGGAGTGAGCTAGGTCTTCGTGACCGTGTGCATGTGTTGAGCGGTTGTGTGTGAGCATAGACTATACAAATTTTCCAACAACATTATATTATGGTTTGAAGAAATATATGTCACGCAAAATTACAATTATATTAGCTGGTCAATGTTAATGTTGATTTGACAAGTTTTAATTTTCAACAGGGTTGCTTACATATGCATACCAAAATAAATTAACATAAACTAATCTTTAACCTCCCTATCTTAATTATTTAATTATGGTTTTTTTATAGGAGCATATATATAGATACTTTTGTAAATTTTTATACCAAAGTCGTCATGCTCTCGCAAACATTACAACACAAATGGGACATATTTTAATGTCTAGTAAGTATACTCTCAATTCCAGTTGGTAGTTACAAATACTCATAAATAAATAAATAAATACACAATATATAGTTTAAAACCGCAACTCCAACGTTGGCCGCGGGATTAGATGGAGACGTACGTGTGTGGTCGTATACTCGATTATACTAATATTGACCAACATATTTATATGGTTCTTTACTTCTTTAAGGATTATTTTCATCGCATTGTTGCACGTTAAAGTGATGAGTAACCTTAACTAAAGTAATCGAGTTATTGACTTAATAATTATTACAAAGTTCAAAGTTTATTGTCATTTAATTGGATGGATCTACTAGTTTTCTTGATTTTAGCTGGTCAGCTATATATGAGTAACTTGGACTGATTTACCTTCTTGTTGTCTTTTGCTGGTTACGGTCACACTGTGAAGTTTATCCAGTGCATAATCTCGGGCGAACACAAAAAATGCACCACAACCTGGTACATTTCTGAATACGTGGTGGTGCATTCACGCATACCTAATAGTGTATGACCGCACGTCTTAGGGTGTGGTGCATTTGTGTATTTCACCTTGGTGCACTTCTAAACACATTATGGTGTATGTATACATACTTAAGTGAGTCATCAGTCATGTGACTTTGAGTTTGACGTATTTAAAGTATGCTCTTGAGACTAGATAGTGCATCATTAACTTAATATTCTAAAAAAAAATAAAAAAAATCTTGATTTAACTCAGTTTTTGTTTTTTTTTTGTTTTTTTTTATAAATATTCTTGATTAGTCTTAAATTAAAATGATAGACATATAACACTTTAACACTTTTTGATTGTTGTTTGATTGTATATTTCCCACAATGCACAAACTAATAAGTGGCATAGATATATAGCATAATGGTATATGCTATTAGTGGGAACCTCCATACAATTTTTGAGTGATATATTTATAATTTGACCATTAACTTTTTCTAATGGCATCACTATTATATTAACCATTATTAGTGCATTTATATTGTAATAGGTTTGCTAGACAATATGATACGATATTGACCTAAATTTAAATGATCTGTATTGTAATGCACAATAAAATGAATAATTAAGTGGTATAGCATAATGGTGCTAGTGGGAATCTTCATAAATTTATTAGTATTCTTTTCTTTTTCTTTTTTTTTTTTAGAAGGAAAAAAAATTGCCTCACTATATAACCCAAAAAAAAAAACATTAATTAAAAACAAAAAAAAAAATCCCTAATTATTCATAATTTGGCATGGTGTCATAAGATACTATAAAAACTTCTTATACTATTAAGTGTTTAATTTATACATAATAAATATTATATTTTTTTTTTGAAAACCATAATAAATATGATATTAATATAATTACAATGAAAACGAGATAAATATTTACATAATGGCTCACGATATAATCTCTATATATATTGATTGGTGGGGGTGGTTAATTAGTTGTACACTCAACAAGCAACATAGTCTCTTCATGCCAGCAGTGGGTTTAGTTTGTAGTGCATTAGTGCTTGAACCAACAAGCAATTCAAGTCACGCCCGGCTACACCAAGTGCAACGTGACATAACAAACAATAATATTTTTGATGGACTATATCATGAAATTCGTAAATTCGCCTTCAAACTTATGAAGAGATAAATCGAGTCAACCTAACCTCAAGACTATATCTCAAACTCCATAAACCCGCTCACAAGCCTGTAAATAGGTAAATCAAATCTATCGATTTAATTTCAAGATTTAACACCAAATTGTACGTATAAACAGCCCAACCCAAATCTCAAATGTTAATGGTAGGAATTGAGCCCCACCTTGCAACTAAAAAATAAAATAAAATAAAATTTTAAGTATGATTTTTCTTTCACTAAATTTATGTCAATGTTAGTTTCTTGCATGTTGAAGTTAGGGTATTTTGAATATGATTTTTATTTTTTAATTTGTACCTGCCTTTTTCAAAGTTTCAACCTTTTACTTCATCAACTACCACACGCATAAACATTAAAAAGTGTCCGTTAAGATTGGATGGTGTTGTCGGCCGGATTGATGACATCTTATTTCTAGCAATGTTATGTTTCTAAATATTAAAATAAAAAAAAAAAATTCTAAAGTTAAAATAACAATCTTTATACACCAAATTTTGGTCAAGATTTGCCAGAATTTTATTTCAATCTGAACCCTTTAGCCTACCCCTCTCAACAACACAAATTTTGTTTTAAGTAGGAGGAAATTTGGTTTTTAATCAATTTTATACTTTATTGCCTTGCTATATATGCTTTATTGGCACCAACACCGTAACTTAAAGTCAACAAATTAGCAGAATGATCATTTTTTGAACTTAGGTAGTGTAACATATTAAGATCGATAATGAAAAATTCCAATCTTAACCCCAACACTTTTTTTTTTAAGTACGTACTATCAACTCTATTACAGTGTAGTATCTGTTCAATACATTTTCTCTTAAAATTCAAAGAGTCAATACCCCACCATCAGAGTTCGATTCTGTGACTTTCCCTCAAAGAAAACTACGAAAGTATCAATTGAGCACAAGATGTTTGGCAATCTTAATTGAACATGTGCTCCATCTCAACTAAAAGTCTAAGCTAATAGTTGGATTGCACATTAGTAGTTATATGGTTATATGTTCAACACGCTATCTCACGTATGCGGTGGGTTCCAAGTAACACACCCATGACATTTAGTCTGGTTCTGATACCAAATTGAAACATGTGCTCTATCTCAACTAAAAACCTAAGCTAATAGTTGGATTGCACATTAATGGTTATATGCTCAACAATCTTAGCCACAACGTAATTCTATTGTGTTTTGAATCATCAATTTAGGATTTAATGTCAACAACTAGAAGCGTCAAGGAAACCGGATAAGGCATGCCATGTCGGGCAAGGAATTGAAGGTCGTGTCGTTTGACATTGTATTGGAATTGAACCAATGCTAAGGATAAAATCGACATTTTGATCCCAAATTAAGCAGACTTTTCGGACGTTACATTTCAAACTAGAAAAAGTCAATATTTTTAGTTCAGAGTATAAACTTTCAATGCATTAATTTAAACAAAATGGAAAGTCATTACACCGTCGAATATTGTGATCAAACGGTATAACAAGACAAAACAACTTGATATTATTAGACCTCAAAATTATTAACCTAAGTGGATAACTTGTTGAATATGTAAACTTATTAGAACTTAATTTTACTATTTTACCGATTTAGGGACACCGTTAGAACCGTTTTCAATTATAGACCTAATTATTTATTGGACTTAAAGGTCAATTTAACCTTTTTTTTTTAATTTAAATTATAATATTCTATATTATGTTTTTGAATGAATTATTATTAGACTACAAATTAGAGATCTCTTTCTTTATCACTTTATGTATACATTGTTTCATTCACAAATTTCGAATACAAAATTTTATTCAAAGAAACGATTGAATTCTTTATTTATTAAAAAAAAAAAAAAAAGCATTCACCATACCTTTGGTCTCTAAATATTTCAACATAAGAAAGGCTTTCAAAAACCCTAAATTCAATAAAATAATTCTTATTGATAATCTCTTTGTCAAAGACCGCAAAATTCATCTTTAATTTTATTGAGTTATAAATCCAAACGTCATTTAAAAAGGGATTTAATAGAGACTGAATTGAATTAATCTAATTTAATCTCACATAATGTTAATATTGGTGAGTATACTTAAAAGTTATTCTGAACGAGATTTAATAAAATTACCCTGAATGAGATTTAATAGAGACTCGATTGAATTAATCTATTTTTTTTTTGAAAACGAATTAATCTAATTTGATCTCACATTCTCACATAATGTTAATATTAGTGAGTATACTTAAAAACTTAAAAATTACCCTGAAGAAGATTTAATAAAATTTTCTTGAATGAGATTTAATAGAGACTCGTTTGAATTAATTAATCTAATCTGATCTCATATAATGTTAATATTAGTGAGTATGCTTTAAAAGAAAAAAAAAAGTGTCATTTTGAACTATTCTAACGTTATGGAAATGTTTGTTTATTAATTGTGTGGCCTTGTGGGGTAGACAAGTAATTACAAAAATAAATAAATAAATAGTGTAGACAATGTAATTACGTGGAAAGCCCACACTGCTGTATACCTTTGAAGCCTCCCTTCTTCTATATATACCACCATTGTTGACCTCCATTATTGATCTTATCAAGCCTTCTGAAAATTTCCAGGCTTCAACTAATAAACCTTTTGTATCCCTTTGATCATCGTCCTCTTTAAGAATCTCAGATCAGCTAGCACTAATTTCTCTCTCTAAATTTCAACCCAAAACCATGGCCATGGGCATCAGCTCAACTCTTCACATCTTTCAGGCAAGGCGGGCCAACTTCAAGTGCACCGGCGGCTCGCCGCTTAACCCCTCGGCACGGGCGGCTAATAACACAGAAAGCTTGAAAAATCACCTTTCCAACCTTGAGAAGTTGCTTCAGAGTAAGGAATCGGAGGAAAGGCCGCCGGAAGTGGAAGAAGTCGGTGATGGGGTGAACGGGGATGAAGGGAGAGGGCTCCTGGGAGGGCTGAACTTGACCAGGATTTGGCCGGAGATGAAGGCGGCGGAGGAGATGTCGCCTAGGAATTTGAATAGGTTGCAGAGGTTGCTGTCGAAGTCGCAGATGGAATACTCGCCGCGGAATGTTCTCGGCCGCCGGTGGCGGGAGTATCACGGCGGTAATGACTGGTCGGGTATGCTGGACCCGCTCGACGACAATCTCCGGCGGGAGATGGTCCGGTACGGCGAGTTTATTCAGGCGGCGTATCACTGCTTCCACTCCAACCCCGCCACGTCGCCGGAAGAAGGCCCGACGCATCCCCGGAGCGTGGCCTTGCCGGATAGGTCATATAAGGTGACGAAGAGTCTGTACGCCACGTCATCTATCGGTTTGCCCAAGTGGGTGGATGATGTGGCGTCGGATCTCGGGTGGATGACTCAAAGGTCAAGTTGGATTGGCTATGTGGCTGTGTGTGACAACCAACGGGAGATCCAACGAATGGGAAGGAGGGATATCGTGATCGCCTTGCGCGGAACTGCCACGTGTCTTGAATGGGCTGAAAATGTTAGAGATTTTCTAGTTCAAATGCCAGGACAACACGACCCAACCCAAGGACAACCGAAAGTGGAATGTGGATTCTCGAACTTATATCAAACAGGTGGAGCTCATATGCCGAGCCTAGCTAAATCAGTGGCCGATGAAGTGAAAAGACTTATGGAACAATACAAAGGCGAAGAGCTAAGCATCACCGTGACCGGGCATAGCCTTGGGGCAGCGTTGGCCCTTCTAGTGGCCGATGACCTAAGCACAATCGCACCGAACGCACCTCCAGTCGCAGTGTTTTCCTTCGGTAGCCCTCGGGTGGGTAACCGAGCCTTTGCTAACCGACTCAACTCAAAAAATGTTAAGGTATTACGCATCGTCAACACTCAAGATGTCATCACCAAAGTTCCTGGCATGTTCGTGAGCGAATCCCTAGACAAAAAGCTTAGGGAATCAGGAGCAACAGCAGGGTTACTTAACATGCTAGACAATAACATGCCGTGGGCATACTCTCATGTCGGAACAGAATTAAGAGTAGACACGCGGATGTCCCCGTTTCTAAAACCTGATGCAGATGTAGCGTGCTGTCACGACTTGGAGGCATATCTACACTTGGTAGATGGGTTTCTAGCATCAAATTGTCCATTTAGATCTAATGCCAAAAGGAGTTTGGTGAGATTGGTGAACGAGCAAAGGTCTAACATCAAAAAGTTGTATACTAGCAAATCAAATAAGCAAAGTAGTCTAAGTCTTGAAACTGCTCATCTTAGTCATTTCAATGCTCCTGCTTTACCTAGTCCATCTTGATATCATTGAAGAATGCTTCTTGTACAAAATATTATTTTAGTGTAATAATTAAAGTGTTTATCTTAATTTTATCTTCAAATTCTCTTGATCGATTAGAGAGCACCTTCACTTCTCAACTGAATTAGTTGGGTAATTGACTTGTTAATTATAATGTTTCAAACTCAATTATTCGTGGGAACTATCTATTGATTTTTGTGATTTGACCCAATCAGCAAAAGAGGTGACACTTGAAGAACACCCAACCATCAACCTTCTACACTCGAGGGATGTCCAACTTATTTTCAAATATAATATTTCGATCTGATCCTAAAACTAGACATTCATTGTAAAAGATTAGAATACACCCGAAAAAAACCCAAATAACAACCAATCAACCAAGCTGGCTTTTGTCTACAAATAACCTTTTCACACTCGAGAGGTGTCCAAATCATTAAAGAAAAAAATACAAACAATAACGATGATATGATCAGTGAAATGCCAATCCAACTAACCATGGACCCTGCTAGGCTGCTACTTTGTTTTTGTTGATTTATTTTTGTATCATTTTTCTTTCGTTGGCCCCCTTCAAATTGAATATAGTTTATATATTTTGTATTTTTCTATGTCAATATCCACTGAGCCACATGGACCACATTTTTAATTAATTGGTGTATTTCAATAATCATATTAGATAACTATACACTACAATATAATATACTTTTAATTACATGAGTTATTTATTCTGTCAATGAAATATATTTTACGATCAAATTATACTCTAAACTTCTAACTGCAGTTTGGTTTATAGTTAAATTTACTATGCCATTTTGATAAGTTGGTAAAAATTTGCATTCTTTTTAGCCTAAAACATACATAAAACAAAATCTCTACTATGCATTAACAATTTACAATTAGGGTCTATTTCGGAATCTATAAAATGATTTATGAAAATCATTTTTTGAATCTTTTAGTATTTGACTAATTAAGAAAAAAATTATTTAAAAAATACTCATTTTAGTTAAAATGCTCGAAAGTTAACAAAGACATATGCCTACCAATAGTAAGATAAACACAACCATATTTCTAAATATATATCTAATTGGATTATAAGAATTAATTACTCTTAACCTCTTAATTGGCCCTCTAGTTCAAAGTGGATGCCTTGTTCCAATTTGTGAGGGCCCAAAATCTACTATACTAATAAGAGCCCAAGAGAGTTAGGCCTATAATGGGTAGAAAAAATGGCGGTCACAGATTTTAATCAAATGAATGACTCAGATTGATTAAAAGATTGATAAGATTTAAAATTTACACTAAAATTTCATAAAATACCCACACATCGTTACTAATTCCGTTAAAATTTTAAGAATTGTCGTTAGCTCACCGTTAACTTACTCATTGATTTCAATAAAAAAAAAAAAGGTCTTAGGTTCGAACCCCATCCCAATCAAAGTTGGCATAATTAGTACTCTATTTTACTCTTATTAAATTATATAAATAATAATTTAGTAGCTACAACAAAAAATTATAGATATGCATTTCTTTAATTTAGAATTATGTGTCCATAATGCTTTTATTCAAAAAAAAATTATTCATTATCAATAAATTAAATAAGAGAAATAATTGTATTAGTTATATTGTCTTTATTTTTCTACAATATAAAAATTCTTTATATTCAAATTTATTAATTGATTATATTCGCTACATTGTCCTTACAATGTCTTAATTCAGTGAAAAAAATTATTAATTATCAATAAATTAATTAATAGAAATATTTTCATTAGTTATATTGTCTTTATTTTTCTCAAATGTAAAAATTTTTACATTCAAATTCATCAATTGATTATATTCACTACATTGTCTATTATCTTTTTTGTGCACTATTTTTCTAATTAAATATCAAAGTTATAATACAAAATAATGCTATATATATTTATTTACCAAGTATTTTATTAATACCATGAAAAAATTTAAAAAATATATAATTAATAAAGCCAACCATATTAACTACTTGAGAGATTTTGTGACAAAGAGAGTATTCAAATCACACAACAAATTGAAGTGAGAACTACCTTGCAATGTCCTTGTTTGACAATCAGCAGTTAGCGGATTATATTAGCGGATTTGACCAACGAATTTATTTAATTATTAACATTGGGTAGAAAAAATGACCGCCAAATTATTAAATCAAATGAATGGTTCAAATTGTTCAGGTTTTAATTTTTTTTAAAATTTTTCTAATTTATCCTTAATTATATGATTATCCATTTAACTTTTCCGTTAATTCACTGTTAGTCTAATTCTAATATTAACGTCTAATATAGAATTATAATTACACCATTAATCTAATTCTAATATTAAAGTCTTAATAGAACTTAACCACAAATCCTAATGTCGAAATCTCCTCAAACAATATTAGTATATATTTAATATTTTATGCCATAATTTTTATTTGTTCTCCCTTATGTCCCGAATTTGGTTTCAACCATACCTATACAATTATTTTATTGACAATTATAATCAATCTTGACTATATTATCTTGCATTTGTAAACTTAAAATTACCTATTTAACCCGCACGGGCTTAGCTCAATGGTTTAGTGGGCAGTATTTGGGAGAAGAGACCAAGGTTTGAACCTCGGCGGCGGCAGTGCGGGAATTATGTCCAAAGTGGGCAGATTCCTTGTTCGCACCGGCATTTGGTCCTGTCTGCTGAACCATTGAGTCACCGTGATTTACAACTTCCTACAATGCTCTGTCGGGTCAGAGTGTGGGGGGCCCTTGGGGTAGGGGACTCAACCTTTGGGAGAAGAATTACCTATTTAAATAAGCAAATTCAACCTTCAATTATCTATGCATGAACAATTTCAATATAATCTTGCCTTAATATACTTTAAAGTACTTATTTTAAAAAAAAATATTGGGCATTATCCCAATCGCGCAATGCGCGTAAAAAACTAGTGTTTAAATAATTGTCCAAATTTGGGAACTATTAGCATGCAATATCCCAATAATTGTGTTCATTCAAGGGGAAAAGAAAAATAGATCAAATAGTGGGGCATTGCTAACTTTAAAACTAGAATAACAATTGGATATGGAATAACACAGGCATGGAATAAAAATAATTGAAATTTTGTAAAAAAAAAAAGTAAGATTGGTTAATTAGGATGTGTTATCGTCTAATCAAATTGTGTGTTACTTTCATGATAAATGTAATAATATAATGGGATTAATTTTTACACAAAAAAACTTATATTACGATATGTTGTTGTCTAATTGATATATGTGTAGGGAGTTTATTAAGGAGGTCCCTGAGGGTATCCTAACTCATAAGAGAGATTGGAGATTCCTTGGTTGAGAGGAATTAGCGAGAGACACTAACTTCATTGCTTGGGTTTTACACTACGTCTTAAAAAAAAAAAAAAAAAAAAAAAAAAAAAAAAGAGGAAGGTGACCAAAAATGAGTACTGTAAGTGAATAGAACATGATTTTCGTACTTAAAAATCATATGTTTGATTCTTGACAATACATTTTTAGTTGAACCGGTTACATAAAGTCTTTCTAGTGCGATTTACTACTTCTACTATATAATTACAGAAAAGAAATTTACACAGTGCATACATTCAAATACTAATTAATTAATTATAGATTCTCTCACAAAACAAAAAAAAAAAAAGAAGGCGTAGAAAGATGTGGGGATCTTTAGTGGTGTCTTCATTCATATATAAAATCATAAATATTCCATAGGAAATATGAGCTAATAAGTCCAATGATCCAAAAAAGAACAACACATACATGCAATATCAGCATATATCAACATATAATTGGATTCATAGCAATCCTTAAAAGATTTCTTAATTAATTGATCCACATGACATCCACCAATCAAAAACCTTGGACACCTAACATTTAATTTGTATGATTGTTGTTTTTAATAACTACACGTGTTTTGCATTTAAACTGCTGTTTTCAGCTTCTGATACTTTATTTATTTATTTTATTTGGTTAGGATGGGGATGGCACCAATCGAGTGGATAGCTTTCACTCTAAATTTTTTTTAATTCAACTATTATCGATAAGATTCATGCGAAGATCCTAACTTCAACACAAAAATTAGTTCAAAAATAGATGTTTAATCTTAACTTTAATTTAAACATCACTTTACATTCTTTTATGGTTTCAATATGAGATCGTATCATCTTGGATCATTGCACTAACATCAATGTTGACCTTCACCGTGTTCATAAATTTGGTTGGAGATCATGAAGTAAAATGATGTTGTATCATTTTAATTCTACTTAAAAAAAAAAAAAAAACAACCATTAAAGTCATATATTAGAGAAAAGCTGAAATAGCGTCTGGAGGACTAGTCGCCCAGTACATAGCAGATGGCTGAGCGAAAGTCGTAGAAGCTAAAGCATGAGCTAATAAATTGGACGATCTAGGAATAAAACTGACTAAACAATGGTCTAACAAAGAAATAGAAAGTCTGCAACTATCGATGGCATAGCCGACGTAGGATCGAACTGACTCCCCAGATGAAGATAAGCAGTGCTGAAGACTCGAGAAATCCTTAAGCAACTCAAAAGACCGCTCCCCACGATCCCTTAACCAGGGACCTCTTTACATGCAAAGGCCTCAGCCATCAACGGAGAAAAGCAAGGAGGTAACATAGCATTGAAGGCCGCAACATAGCCTCCGTTCTCATCGAATAAGACCGCCCCACCGAGGCTTTGTTAGACGCCGAGAGGAAGCCGGCGTCGAAGCGGCACGAACGCAGCCCGACAGTAGTTCCTGTGGCAGCAGGTTGCAGCTCAGCAGTGTGGTCCAAGACAGCCATGTACCTGGGCATGACAACAGGTTGCGGCACGGTAGTGTCGGCAGCTCCACAAGACGTTATCCTCGCGCCGGGTTCGGCATGGGCAGCGCGCCAAGCTTGCATAGCGGCGAAAGCGGACGCCACGACCTTCTTCGGGGCTAGAAGACATGCATCGTCCCAAACCGCACCATTCCTTGCCTTCCAAATAAAATATAGAATAGCAGTTGTGAAAAATATTTCATTAGAGTCTAGAATACTCAAAGCTTCTTCAAACCAAGA